GCTTTATTAGAATTAAAATACATTTTAAAAACTTATTTTATTTTTACCGTTTATGATGTTTTTGACCTTGTGTACTTTGCTCAGGTTGGAGAGAAACTAGACAGGTTTATTTAAGTCATTCTCCATTTCATTAAAATCAGTTTAATCTTCCAGTTCTGATTCTATCCTACTTAGGTTATTTCACATCACCCAACACTGTATCTTAGTTCCTTCTAGAATTATGGAATGAAACAAGGAGACAAATATCTATCAAATGCAATTCCTCTTCATTCCTGTACTGCTCCTTACTCCCAGGCGAAAGCGTATTGTTAGGGTGCATGTGTGGTTTTTAAACGTAAGCTAATGTGGTAATACTCTTCTTAGCAAATGCAAGGTTGAAAAAATAAGTCTTGCATTTGTACCGCACTATGGTGTGGTTTGTGGTACTCCTTAGCTCCTGCAGGAGAGAGTTCTACAGTATGGGCTAGCCCCCAGGAAAGCCCTGTTTTCTGCACAGAGGGGCTTCACCCTGGAGGCAGATACCAGAGGAGTGGAGCTACATCGAGGGCAGTTCTGGTCCCTGAGGGTGAGATGCTGTTTTAGGTATCCTGTGCCCAGCTGTTTAGTGCTCTGATAATCAAGATGCAGATCTTAAACTTAACATCATGCTCTACAGGGAGCCAGTGTCAGGAGAAGAACACTGGGCTGATGTGCTCTCAGTAACTTCTGTGCTGATGAGACCTCCTGCTGCATTCTGCCCCAGGTGCAGTCCTTTCAGGGTTGATGTTTCCATAACAAAATAGACTGCATTGCTATTATCCAGATCGTAGGTGAAGTTGCGCATTATTGTTACTAGGTTACCATTAGCAAGGGTGAGACTATTGCCATGCTGTTGGTATTTTGGTTTTCAACACTACTAAGTAATGCTTTTAACAGTTATTTCTATTGGATTTTTAAAATAGATTTTTAAACAAAAACAACATTTTGGGCTCCAAATACTTGACAGTGTCCCTTTACACAGCCTACGTTAAAGCCCGCTCAAAAACAGAGTTTATAAAGGAAAGGCTGGTAGACCCCCTAATCCTAGCAGTACTGCAAGGTATCTCTGTATTGTGTATGTATTGAGGTATTTTATGTGAAATGTTTCTTTATTTTACTGCTATATATTGTACAAATCACATTTTCTGCAAATGGTAAATTCTTAACCTAATTCTTTTGATGTTACCAAGTAATTTAAATTGGTTCTGAAAGCAGTTCTGTCTTCTGCTAAAATTTCTGCACATCAGAAAAAAAATTCATCTTTTACGATTAATGAAACAATGCAAGTATTTTGTAAGTAGAACAACAAAAGCATGATAGATCTTTAATTTTAGCAATAATAATGTGTAAAATGGACATGCAAAAAGCTTATAATTAATCTATGTGGTAGTTATCCCATAATGTCATTATAAGTAGGGCCCTACCAAATTCACGGTCAATTTCACAGCCATAGGATTTGAAAATTGGTAAATTTCATGTTTTCAGATGCTAAATCTGAAATTTCAGGGTGTTGTAACCGTGGGAGTCCCGACCCAAAAGGATATGGGGGGGGGGTCACAACCCTGTTGTAGGGGAGTCATGAGATTGTCACTCTAACTTCAGGGCTGGACAGAGTGGGGAGGAGGGGTGCGGAGCTATCTGCATCTGGGAGAGATACCCAAGAGCAGCCCTGTAGGGAAAGGGCTGTCCTGCCCCAGCCCTGCCCGGACTAGCAGCTAGGAGCCCCCTTTGCTGGGGTGCTCCTAACAGCACAGGGAAGATTGGATCCAACTCCACAAGCTGCCTCCAGCTGTAGGAACCTCCAGGGCTGCTGCCCAGTCCCAGAGCATCCTGCAACAGGGGGAGGCACCAGGAGGTGGGTCTGGTCTCTCCCGCCCCCCCTCCTCCACCCAAGCAGCTATGCAGGGGATGGAAAAGTCCTGTCCCTCCCCAGCCCAGCCGGAACTAGGATCCCCCTTCACTGGGGTGCTCCTAGGAACAAGGGGATATCAGATTTCATGGGGAAGGGCTTATTTCATGGGTCTGTGTCACGTTTTTCACGGCTGTGAAATTGGTAGGGCCCTAACTATAATCATTGTTACTTTTTTGTACTGCAGTAGAGCCCAGAGCTCCAAACTGGACTGGGGACCCAGTTTATAATATAGCCCCTGCCCCTCAGACCTTATAATTTAGCAAGGTTAAGACATGACAGTTGGGTGTATAATATAAGTGAATGACAAGGAGGCGGAAGACAAGTGTAATGTTTATAGCTTACATATGCAATCTTGTCCTAGGTGTACTGTTTTGAGTTGGATTAAAAAAATAATTAAAACAGGTGCATGAGAAACGCTAAGGAAGGCCACCTCCCTAGCTATTATCACTAGGCATCATAACAGAGTCCTGCTATCATGGGTAACATGACAGAGGTGAGTCTTATTAAGAGATTTGAAGGGGTGACAAAGATAGTGGCTGTGCAGACTGGGTTAGGAGGGTGTCCCAGTTTTACAATAAGAATTATGAAGTTATATTTTTTTTCATTTACCCTTTCATGATGTAAAATCAATATACAGTCTCTTGCTAGCTCAAATCTCTGTGCTGCCACAAAGGGGATCAGAATTGAGAACCTGAGCTCAGTCCTAAACTAGAATGGAATTAAGTGACTGTAGATGGAGCCATGTAAAACTGCATGTGTGCATGCAAGCGCATGCATGGCCTTTAACTGTGGATTTCCTTCCCTGCGTTAATCTTTGGAGGTGGAAATGCCATGACAATGGAGCCTCTGGGAGAGGAAAAAAAGAAGGGATCAGGTTGTGGGGAGCTGTGATAGAGGCTCAGGAGATTTCCCTCTCTCTGGGGAGGATGTTGGAGTAGAAGATGACATATACTATGAAATCCATTATAAGAAAACTAGTGTATTTAAGTTGAGATAGGAAGTAAAGCCTGTGCATTGGTTTGTTTAACATGGGATGCATATGATGATACAAAAACTAGTACCTTTTCAATTACATAGACCATTTAGATGTAAATTGTGCTTAATAAATATATGCTGTTCAGATAGTGTTTAAAGAATGTGAAAATCCATAGGTTTCTGTGTGTGCATGGATTTCTTATGAGCATTTATTAAACAAAAAGACAAAAATGGACACTAGTTCACAAATGAATCCTGCAGTCTAATGTTGGATCCGAGGACCAAGAACCCCGGCTGCAGCCCCTCAGTCTTGTTTATATGCTGGATAAGCACTTAATTCAATCCACCTCAACTCCTGTTTTTTTTATGCACAAAGTTCACTCAGCCCTTGGTGAAGGAGGAATGAATTTAAGTCAGTTTTGGTTTGTTGTTGCATCATATTATTTAACTAAAAGTGAACCATGTTGCTACCAAAATCTGGGGAGAACTTGTTTTAAGTGCCTAACTCCCATTATTTTTAATATGAATCAGAGTTACATTGATGCTAGTATGGAAGACTGTCCCCTTAGTATGGGACTGATTTGATTTGAAGTAGGAAAAGGGTAGGTGGTGGAAACTTAAGTTTTAAAATTGATCTGCAAAATTGAACATAAATGAAATTGTTTAGAGCAGGGAGTGCTGTAAGCCTCTAATAAGGTGAGAAGAAGGGACATTTAGCACATCTGCACCATAACCCTAACTTTCACCTTTCTTCTCTTTCAAATGTTGTGAAGTCTGGTTCTGCCTCTGATTGCCAGCTGCTCACAGCTGATTTCAGAGCAGTTCCCTGCACTGGAGCCTTCCTATAGGGGAGAGATGTCCTATCTGTCTGTGTAATCTATATATATATTGTGTGTGTGTGTGTGTGTGTGTGTGTGTGTGTGTGTGTGTTATATATATATATAC